CACTAACAATGATCGTGATTGCCGAGGATCTTGAAATCTTCTTTTAATAAGATGATCGTATAGAAGTAGCTAGATCTAGTTGATAATACGATCATTCAAAATGTTGTCAGTTGATCATCTAGAAGCTGTCTATCGCTAAGTCGATCTAAGTATATTACTGTATTCAATGAAGAAACTTCTCTTCGTCTAAAACAATTACTTTAATTCAGAACTTGAAAAAGCTATTCACAAATAATTACAATGGTTAAACGTACTTGAATAAAATGATAGATCTACACAATAATATAATTGAGTTCTAATACAAAGCTTTAGTAGATGTTTCACTCCCCAGTTCCATACAAATGACTGACTAATAAAACAGAATCTTCTCTGGCTCAAGCGATGTCACGTGTCCCACGTAGCTCATTGCAACCAATAAATGCAGCCCAAGTTACACTAATTAACATATCTCCGCGTGAGAAATTACCCGAGGTTGCTGACGAGCTAAATATAGATACTGTGTACGTGACAGTGTTTAATTTTTATATACTTTTTATAAACTCTTTCTGCCTTAGTTTCTTTAAATTTTCTATATAGGTTTTCCTTCTGTTTACAAAAGCTTCTTTAATCTATTATTAAACCAGCATTTATTTATTTTGTTTGATGTGTATTTAGTTAGTATATGATTTTCTATAATGTTTTTAAAATAGTTTTTAATGAAATTCCAGAGGTCATCCACTGGTTGTTACTGTCTCTTTCTGATAAGAATGTTTGTTGAAAGTTTAATGCAGCCTGGTGTTGTTGTGTTAGGTTGCATTTATTCCAGAGTAAGATTTTTCTTTTGGGCTTTGTATTGGCTACTGCTTTAATCTGACTATGTATTTTAATGATATTATGGTCTGATATACCAGGCATAATATCATAATCTACTACTAATCCAGGTCTGTTGGTTAAGAAGAGATCTAATGTGTTGTTTAATCTAGTTGGTTTTTTAATGATTTGATCTATGCTTAGGTTGTGTAAAGTTTCTATAAAAAGCTCATTTATGTCCTTAATGTTTTGGTGTTTATCTATGGTTAGTGTTTTCCAATTTATATCAGGTAGGTTGAAATCACCCATAATCCAAAAACTGCATTTTTCTTTTTTTCTTTAAGTGTAGTTAACTGATTACATAGTTCTTACATGTACTCTAAACTAGAATTTGGTGGCCTGTAAATACTGTCTATTATTAGGGATGTTGAGGTACTTCTCAATAATTGACACATTGAACTGGAACAAAGTTCTCTTTCACCAAAACTGACTATATTGCATAGATCATGAAAAGTAGGGCTGTGCAGGATTCAACTTTTTGTCAAACATTAGTTTGGAGAAAAAACAAGTCTTGACAATGCTACACTTTTGTTTCATTTAATTTTGTAAGTTGTATTAAAAAAAAATTCTTTGACATACAGAAAGTAAAAAATGAAACAGAAAGTCATTTGCAATTTGCCATCTGTTAGAATCTTTCTACTGGCTGCAGGATCCTATTGTACCCTTTAAAACTGATGATTAAACATTTCCTTTAATTTAAAGTGTGTAATTAGCTAGTTCACAATATTTACTTTAATTGTCCACTACATGTTACTCTTAACTCTTTCAAAATGTTGTTGTTCCATTATTCTATGTTGTTTTCTTTCATAATTTATTTAGGGGCCATTAAAAGAAAAGTTGAAATTGGTTGCTTTACTGACAATGAGAAATATTTAAAGTTGGTGGAAAGGTAATTTTTTACTGTGTTGAGAGTCTTTGATTAGAAAGATAAACATTGTCTAGGTTTTAATTGGCATGATCTTTATTTTGTTTTCTCCAGGCATGTGGAGGGCGCATTGAATGAATTCACACCAGATTTAGTTGTTTACAATGCTGGCACAGATATATTGGAGGGTGATCCGCTTGGACTACTGTCTATAACTGCAGAGGTTAGATAAAAGTCTGCAACCTGCAGGCTTTTTTTTTCTCAATATTTTACGTTTGATACTATGGTACCACTGACATGTCCCATGAAAATACAAATATTACTTTTGATAGCACCCTGTGACATGTCCCATGAAAATACAAATATTATTTTTGATAGCACCCTGTGACATGTCCCATGAAAATACAAATATTATTTTTGATAGCACCCTGTGACATGTCCCATGAAAATGCAAGCTCAATATTCTACAGAACCATTCCTCTTGATATAAACTTCTAACCTTCAGAAATAAAATAATTTTTTTTTTTTATCTGATTGATTTTTTTCCTTCTCTTTTCTAAGTTATAGCAAGACAAGAAAACAAATATTTGTAGCTAGAGTATTTTGATGTTCATTTTATTCATAGTTTAAATACCTACTTAAGAGTATCATTCAAAAATATATTTCCCAATTTTCAATGCTCATTTAATTTACTATCTACTCACCTACTTAGGGTATCATTCAACGAGATGAGATAGTGTTTACCAAGTGCCGCTCAAGGAATATTCCTATTGTCATGGTAACCAGTGGTGGATATCTGAGAGAAACTGCTAGGATTGTAGCCAACTCCATTCTAAACTTAAGACACAAAAGTTTAATTTCTTGTACAGAAGCAGAGCAAGCTGGCCTGATAGAACCTGATGGTGAGCCTGTAATCAAACCAGTGGTATCTAGTCGTAGTACATTATGTTGTAAGAGGCACTAGCGTACACAAGTTTCTAAATTATTTTTATGTTGCTTCAATATTTTGTTAAAGCTTGCTTAAATCCTCTTTGATTATTTGTGTGTTAAATATCTTTTCAGTTCTCAGCAACTTTTTTATTAATGACAAGAAACACAATTAAAATTGGAAATGAACCAATGATTTAGTTGTAATTTATTAGTTCATGAATAGAGCTTCAACTTGCTTTTTCGTTCGGAACTTATTCATTTGTTGTATTTTTGTTATTCTTTATCTGTGATTGTTTTCTAGTTAGTGCTGTTGTCAGTAATGTCAGATCATTGCTTAATTGCTTTTTTTTGTGATATGAGTTTCAGAAAATAAATCAACATACTATACAAATGAAAGTTTACTATACACAAACGTTCTGTGACTTTTTCTTTTACTTTTTGTTAAAAGTACTTTTTTTCTTCTTTGTTTTATTTACTTTTCTTGCATTATATATTTTTTTAAAGATTTTGATCACTTTGGAACTCCTATCTGATTGGTTCAAAAACTTTTGGTAAGATATCTATACACTCTAGTACTTTTTATATTTTTCAATCAAAAATATGAAAGATTAGAATGAGAACTATTTAGCATAAAGAAATCAAGAAAGTAGTATAAATATACCAGTATATCTCAGTTTATTTGTTTGTTGTCTAGGCTTGGATTATTAAACAGTACTAACTTATTTATTTAGTGTCATTTAACTAGCGAATTAATATTATAATTATTACACCATAGAATCACACCACTAATTACAAGTCCAATTTTCTGATATTTTATTACCAATAATTGGAATAAAAAAACTTGTCTTAAAGTGCATTATTTCACTTGCCTACACAGTCCTAGCAGTGATCTACATATTTAGCCATATCCAGTGCAGACATAACTGTTGTCTGCTGGTGGTCCATTTAGGTTAGATTACTAATGTCAGTTTTAAAACATAAATATGAAATTTGATTATTAAAAGATTATGAAAATGTAATAATATTGATTAATGATCGATTATAGCAACAAAAAAATTAATTACAAGTGATCACAACATGTACTGACATTTTCTAGCCTTCATAACTCATTAAGCGACTTCTATCCACTGCAGTCTAATACCTCACTTGACACTGACTATCACTGAATTATTAACCCAACACTAGCTGTCACTTCTATAAACAATTCTCAGTTCGCTAAGATTCTAATCCTAACAGTAACTTGTCTTACTCTGTGTCTTCTACACATGATGCTGTCCTCTGAAGCCATTCCAACATAACTAATGTGTCTGTTTTCTAACTGTAAAGGCCCCAAGGTACCACCATTGCCATATAAATCTTGTTGTGATCTATGAAAAATTTATTAAATAATTGGCATCAGAGGGATCTGTGGCTGAGAGGCCAAAACCACTTGGCCTCCTAACAATGGGCTCAAGTTTGAATCCATACTCGAGCAGAGTTGTGTTACCAATGGCTTAAAGGCAGCCTAGCCACCATCTCTTAGATACCTCACTAATCCACAAAAGAGATTGAACCATAGCACACTGAGCATGCATGAAATGTGCACTATATAAATGGAATTTAAACAAAAATATAGTTTTGTTGCATGTAATACTTTCAAAACTGACTGTTGTTATTTCTATTGTGATAATTATATTTTCATTTCTAATCATTTAATTTCTTTTAAATATGCTATCAATTTCATTTCTCATTTAGAATGACTAAACATTGAACCATGTAAATTTTGACCAGCATGCCTTCTTCTATTGATACCTCAGTTATAATTCTATTGTTGAATTTGTATCTTGTAGAAAGTTATTGTTCTACCGTGTTTTTATTTTTTTAGGTTATAACATTGGAGTGAAATTATGGGATAGAATGTATTATGTGTTCATTCACATGGTTTAGCATTCAGTAGCATTAATCTCTTGATCTAAAAGAAATGTTTACAGTGAAAATTGGAAGAAGCTAATTTAATATTTCTGACATTAATATCCCAAACCTAATGTAGTATTGTTGTTGAAATACAAAGTAATAGATACACATTTTGTCTTACTTTTTAGTGCCGCCTCAGACCTCATTGCCCAGGAGTTTTAGTGATGGAGGATTATTTGCTAGATTCAAACGGAGCTGTTTATCTCGATCATCTAACTCATTTCAAAACATTACAGACCTGAGTCCATCCAGACCCATGAGTGACCTGCAGCTGTCAAACTCAGACAATATAACCTGTTCTGATATGGGGTTCACTGTGGATGACAACAGATTCTGACCCCTCAACTTACTGGAGCACCAATACAGCTACAACAAGACCACTAAATTGACTGGAGCACCAATACAGCTACAACAAGACCACTAAATTACTGGAGCACCAATACTGCTACAACAAGACCACTAAACTGACTGGCGCACCAGCAGGAAGCTAAATTCTCTGCATACATAGTGTCTTATACATTGACTGTTCATATAACTTTGTTGACTGTCATTACTTATACATTGAATAGTCTTGTGAGTTTTTCTTTTAACTCATTTTGTAGACATGAACTATTTATTGAACATTTTGATATCTGCCATCTAGAGACAAACATTTTGACTAGTTCTGTTTTAAGAAACATTTTCTTTATCTTATGTCTATGAATTATTGCACCAAAAGAATTTAGATGAATATTTGTGTTTCAATAATTAGTTGGTGCTTTTATTAATGTTATACTTTCTTGTAAAGAGAATGTGAAGAGAATTTCTAAGTGTGAATCAACCTTTTTTGTTGCTTCATGAGAGCATGTACTTCTGATTGTGCATTCCAATGTTCAACTCAAAATGGTGAGAAGACAACAATTCCACAAGTGCCCAAAGCTCCTAAAAAAAAAGTCTTTAATGTCATTGTGGAAAAAGTGTTACTGGTACTGTTTCAATCTAGGTCCCTTGACCATCTAGCTGGCTAATTGATGACATTATCCTAGTGTAGCTGCTTGGGCATTGTGGTAATACATACATACACAAGTGTGTTGTTTTTTTTTTAAATAGGATTTTTTAGTTGGTCTCCACTTGCTGTTGTGCTACTATGCTGTCATTATCTTATCAAGTAACAGTAGCAGCTACAATTATCTTATAAGTATGGTTCATGCAGTAGATCTAAATGTTCTTTTAATTCAAGCCATCGTGTCAGAATTTAACTTTCAGTTCAAGCCATAGTGTCAGAACTTTACTGACAGTATAGGCCATAGTGTCAGAACTTAACTGTCATTTCAGGCCATAGTGTCAGAACTTTACTTATAGTTCAGGCCATAGTGTCAGAACTTAACTGTCAGTTCAGGTCATAGTGTCAGAACTTAACTGACAATTCAGGCAATATTGTCAGAACTTTACTGACAATTCAGGTCATAGTGTCAGAACTTTAATCACATTTCAGGCCATAATGTCAGAACTTTACTGTCATTTCATACTATAATGATGGCCATAGTGTCAGAACTTAACTTACAAATCAGGCAATATTGTCAGAACTTTACTGACAATTCAGGTCATAGTGTCAGAACTTAACTGACATTTCATACCATAATGATGGTCTTAGCTCTACTAATATACTGTGACAGGTTGGGGAACGTGATGTGTGTTTGGCGCGTTTAATGTCTAGGGGATGATTATTTTTGAAACTATCACACACCAACCCATCAGCATATAAATCGGGAGCAGGCACGCAACAAGACAAGCAATGACAGAGAGATACAAAAGTTAAATTGAAGAATATTTATTTACATAAATATTTACATAAAAGAATAAAAAGGGGGAGGGTTTGCATCTATCTCTAATTGATACTATATTTAATCATCACTCTTGCACTTAATAAGAGAGTATGTCACTTTGTCTTCTGAACTTAGCTGGTTGTCCTGCTTGGGTCGCAGCTGGCTGTGACCTGGCTTGAGGTTCTGCAGCTGGAGGTGGCGCTCTAGCGGGTAGTGGGACGCCGGTGATATAGTCCTTGTGGAGTCTCAATCCAAAGTTCTGATATCTGTAGTGGGCACAGTAGGGCGGGAGGCCGGCTAGCGTGGGCACAAGTGTACTGCGGGCTGAGCGGATCTGTCGTGGGCAGCGTAGTTAACAGGATAAGTCCAGTGAGTTGCAGAGGATTTGGCGTAGCTATGACGTCTCGCACAGATCTGGGTCTATAGGGACGTCGCACCTTATAAGTTGACAGGTGGGCTGTCGAATAGGCGGGCAAATAGATCCGATAGCGCCAAGTAGTGGAGTTGAGTAGATCCACGTAGGCAGTAGAGGATACTCAACAGCAAATAGGCAGTTGACTAGGCAGACAATGCCAAATAAATAGGCAGGTGAGTGATCCGATAAATAGCAAATAGGCAGGTAAATAGTCCGATAAATAGCAAATAGGCAATAGTTGAATAGTGTCGAGTAGACACTGAACAGCAAATAGGCAGTTGACTAGGCAGACAATGCCGAATAAATAGGCAGACACCTGAGGGAGGCTGCGGATAAATAAAGACAAGTTAGGACATGTCTCTCATGCATCTTATCGATGCCCTTAACTGAGGTGCATTCGTCAGATTGGTAAAATTGCTTTTGAGCACAATAGGGAGATGATGACAAACGGCATTTGGAAATAGATGGCTGATAGTAGCAATATAAAAATGTACGTAAAAGGAGAAATAATAATCTCAAAGAAACAACACAAGTTGGAAAGAAAAAAAAAGGGGGGGGGGGGCGGAATGGGCGGTAGTCAGCGACCATGACGGTTTGTTTACACACGGCCGTTGGCCGAGAACAAAGGAGTGCGCTTGAAAGGAGAGTGTCCGTTCAAGGGGCGCAACTCTCGTCAAAGAAGAATGACTAAAGGGGAGATAATTCATATCTCTTTCCTAAGCACAGTATTAGTGCGCTAGTAAAATTATCAAGGCGGTCAGCCGAGATAAAGGAAATAAAATAAGATGTACGAATATATGCATGGTTGCGTCAACGATCAATTGAGCAACGCAGCATTAGATTAATGCAATACATAAATATATACATATTCCATGTTTATGTTTTCTACTTACGACAGTGAGAAATACACTGCACTAATTAAATATAAGTGAAATAATAAAATACACATGATAATATCCAGTGAGAAATATACACAAAAGTAAATTTAAGATGGAACTTGTGATTAAGTTCGGCTTACCACCAGGTATTCCTCTAAGAGTAAGAATAAGTGAAATAGTCCAGACTCGATTGACAGCGATAGAGAAATAAGAGGGTCTGGTTGATTTAATCTACCTGGGAGAGACGGGCGGAAACAGGAAATGTCCTAGGCTAAGAATTATTTTACACAAGGGTGAAGTCCGACAAGAGTCGCACCTTGGAGCGTCACGGGGCATGTTGACCCGAGTAATCTCCTAGATCAAAGAGAGACGGAGGAGAGGGGGGGGGAAGAAAGATTGACTCGCATTCCACCCAAGGTGGTGTCCACTGCGGCTGTCAGACATCCTGCGGGTGAGATCAAAGAGACTGTTTATCTTTACCCCGGTCAATGGAAGGTAAATGAAAGGACGCCAAGGTGGCGGACCAAGTCTAGCTCGAAGAGGTAAAGGTGGGGCGGGTGAAGAAAGTGGGGATAGGACAGGGAAATAACTAAAATAAAATAAATGAATAATAATAATTAATGCTGTGATAAATTTGAGTGACTCTGACAGCGAGCTTTTGACTTGTCACATATTCTCCACTCAAATAAAGCCACACACCTAGCTGATACACCTTCACTTTGTCCAAACCTACCAACCTAGATGACACACTTTTACTTTGTTTAAACCTACCAACCTAGATGACATCTAGATGACATATACTTTCCTAGATGTACATTTAGCTGTATGTGCGTTGTAGTTTACTTTAATATCAAATAGAACTTTTCATAATCTTTAAAACAAGTAGACACAGGGGCATAGCTAGGGTGGGGAAGGAGGGGGGAGCTTTGGAAAATCCCTCTGGGCCTTCACTTGAGAGGAGCCCCCAAATGAGTGTTTATCACATTAAATATTAAAGAGATGTTGTCTTAGCAATGAGTTCCAAACAATATAACATCGAATAAGTTTATACTTTTGGGAATTTATATTTATTTAAGAACTTCTCAGGATCAGTTTACGTCCAAATTAACAACATGAAATTCCCGGTAACCCCTTTCAATACCAATTAGCATGTACCTGGTACACCTCACAAGTTCAAATAACACGTCTCTATTGCCCATCTTAAGAGTTAATGACGCCTAAAAGGTTATTTGAAGGTCAGTAAACATGAACTTTCAATGTCCAAAGAACCCCTGATCAAGATCAAGTAACGATCAAAGTGCCCCTGTCAAGGTCAAGTCAGATGTTGACCTTATCGAGGTCAAATAATATCCAAAGTTCACGTATTTTAAGTCAAATAACATGTCCATCTACAAAATCAAATTGTCTAAATTCTTCCGTTTTAAACACAAAATAATTTCAAAATGGAGGAAGCATTCAGACCTAAGCATTAGACCACAGACTCTAGGATTTCAAACATATTTTTAAAAAAAATCAATACAAAGATTACGGCTACCATTGAGATCAAATTAGAGTTCAGTTCTTTTGTATTTAGTTGACACCAGTGAAGTGGAACGGTTTGGTGGTTCAACCAGACAGCTCTAGCAATATATTCAGTGGTTCAACCAGACAGCTCTAGCAATATATTCAGTGGTTCAATCAGACAGCTCTAACAATATATTCAGTGGTTCAACCAGACAGCTCTAACAATATATTCAGTGGTTCAACCAGACAGCTCTAACAATATATTCAGTGGTTCATCCAGACAGCTCTAACAATATATTCAGTGGTTCAACCAGACAGCTCTAACAGTATATTCAGTGGTTCAACCAGACAGCTCTAACAATATATTCAGTGGTTCAACCAGACAGCTCTAACAATATATTCAGTGGTTCAACCAGACAGCTCTAACAATATATTCAGTGGTTCATCCAGACAGCTCTAACAATATATTCATTGGTTCAACCAGACAGCTCTAACAGTATATTCAGTGGTTCAACCAGACAGCTCTAACAATATATTCAGTGGTTCAACCAGACAGCTCTAACAATATATTCAGTGGTTCATCCAGACAGCTCTAACAATATATTCAGTGGTTCAACCAGACAGCTCTAACAGTATATTCAGTGGTTCAACCAGACAGCTCTAACAATATATTCAGTGGTTCAACCAGACAGCTCTAACAGTATATTCAGTGGTTCAACCAGACAGCTCTAACAATATATTCAGTGGTTCAACCAGACAGCTCTAACAATATATTCAGTGGTTCAACCAGACAGCTCTAACAGTATATTCAGTGGTTCAACCAGACAGCTCTAACAATATATTCATTGGTTCAACCAGACAGCTCTAACAATATATTCAGTGGTTCAACCAGACAGCTCTAACAATATATTCAGTGGTTCATCCAGACAGCTCTAACAATATATTCATTGGTTCAACCAGACAGCTCTAACAGTATATTCAGTGGTTCAACCAGACAGCTCTAACAATATATTCAGCGGTTCAACCAGACAGCTCTAACAATATATTCAGTGGTTCATCCAGACAGCTCTAACAATATATTCAGTGGTTCAACCAGACAGCTCTAACAGTATATTCAGTGGTTCAACCAGACAGCTCTAACAATATATTCAGTGGTTCAACCAGACAGCTCTAGCAATATATTCAGTGGTTCAATCAGACAGCTCTAACAATATATTCAGTGGTTCAATCAGACAGCTCTAGCAATATATTCAGTGGTTCAATCAGACAGCTCTAGCAATATATTAAGTGGTTCCCCCAGGAAGTGTGTGTGTCATGTCCAATGGATGAGATGTTCTGGTCTAAACATTGATGTTGTACGTGCACGGGTTAAGCGCCATTTAACAAGAAAAGAACGATTGCTATTTCAATGGGAGATAATCACGAAATCGCTGGTGTACGGGTTATACTAAATAAAACTTGCAC